CATGTCTTTAATGTATGATCTCGATGAGGAGCGGAACTTTTGGTCTGACCCTTTACTTGTACATGCTAAGATGTGTTTGGTCCTGAAACCAGCTTCCTTAACTGATGGCCACAAACAGAAGGGTGTAGAAAAATTTACATATCTTGGGGACACTCTAATACAATATCTGCTCATCTCAAGAAGGTAACTGAGGCCCATATAAAACTTAAGATAATGGCCGTCTGCCAGACTTTTGCACTGGCATGTCTACTGTACTCCTACGATACTCGGGTTGTGTACCACAAACACTTAGACGGTCTGGAGAGATTCTCCCAACGCTGGGATTGAGATCCAGTTCATAACCCACGCCCAGACACCGTGGTCCTTAAAAATTCCAATCATCGAAGCGTGTATGCACGCCACACGCTTCAGTAGGCAGGCCATGTCATTCGCCTTGACGACCGCAGAATAGTTTAACAAATGCCCAGCAGTGAGTTATTCTACGGCACTTGATCCCCAGCATAAAGGAAAGAAGCTCTTCATGCACCGTTTAAAAGACACTCTTGCAGACTGTCATGTGGATCGATCCCGAATGGTAAATTCCGTCCTGGGTATGACGACAAACTACATCCGCGCCCTGGGTAAGACGATAAACTACGTCCGCGACCTGCGTAAGACGATAAACTACGTCCACGCCCTGGGTAAGACGATAAACTACGTCCGAGACCTGGGTAAGACGATAAACTACGTCCGCGCCCTGGGTAAGACGATAAACTACGTCCGCGACCTGGATAAGACGATAAACTACATCCGCGACCTGGGTAAGTCGATAAACTACATCCGCGCCCTGGGACCTACCATCTTGCATATTCGTCTCCGGATTTTGTCGAGGACCTTGAGATATACAGCGGAAGCACCAGACCATATATGACAGCAATATTCGATCTGCTTCTAAAACTCGGCAGCAGACATCTTCCGAAATACACACTTTGCCTGAGAAAGAAACGCAAATGACCCGATATTCATTTGCTTGCAGACGATCATTTGAAAGTTGTCCGGACTACTCTTTGCCTATGCAAATATCGCTTCACCACCACAGTAGCAACGTACCGACGCCTGTTGAATTCCTGACAAATATACCCCGAAGCCCGAAGCCTAATATATATTCGAAATGAGTCTACACTAGTTCAAATTAATTCTGTATCCTGGTGATTTCCGCGCGAACTTCTTTTTCTTGTTCCAGTGACGCGACACAGAGAAAACGTGATATGCTTGGAAATCATCTGCAAGAAACTGATCACATAATAGGCTTAATTCACAGACAATGTCAGGCGCCATTTGAGAAAGGAAAGTCAATAAAAAGATGTTCTAGAAAATCTGGCGATAAAAAAGTATATAAGATAGAATAAAGTATATAAGATTTAATAAGTAAAATACATCCCTGTCCTGGGTAAGACGATAAACTACATCTGCGTCCTGGGTATGACGATAAACTACATCCGCATCCTGGGTAAGACGATAAACTACATCCGCGTCCTTGGTATGACGATAAACTACATCCGCGTCCTGGGTAAGACGATAAATTACATCTGCGTCCTGGGTAAGACGGTAAATTGCATCCGCGTCCTGGGTAAGACGATAAACTGCATCCGCGTCCTGGGTAAAACGATAAACTACATCCAGCAGCAAGGGGTGATCAGGAGGTTTTGAAACGTGGAACCATCTCTTAATTGCTGGTGTTTCCAGGTCCACCATGACCCAGGGTGGTAGCACCTGTTAGTCCCAGCTATGGGCAAATAGTTAAACCCAAACGAGTAAAAAGAATTATGAAAGGTAAAAATAGGTCCGCGAAATCCTTTGTAAAAATTATTAATTGAAATAAATTTTGAAGAAGAAAACTATTACCAGCAATAAGGCGTTTTTGAAAAAAATGTGGGAAAATTGTGAAAATGGCCTACCTCCTCGCGTTCGAATCTGCTGGTGTTCCACTGGTCCTTCCAACTGTAAAAAAAGAAAACCAAAATAGCACCCCGCGTTTTATGCCGAGTGGTCTCGGTCAGTTAACGTGAAATAGTTAACCTCGTGATTGAGGTGCAAAATGGTCGGTCCGCAAGCTGTAAAAATAGCTGTGTTTATACCGTTTCTGCTGTTTAAAACAGAAATTTCTTCGTGAGAAGGTTATTACGACACCGGTTTTTTTTGTGCCTACCTGCTATCACCAGTTGAATTGTTGATTTTTTGAAAAAAAAATATTACCAGCAATACAATTTTTTAAAATAATATTACCAGCTGTACATTTTTGAGGAAAAAAAATATTACCATTTTTGACAAAACAAATATATTACCTGAAAAAAAAAGTTGTCGGCATTAAATAACACATTGAGGTTGATCTGCCGTAAAACAAAACAAAAAAAAACCGAATGATAAATTTCTGCTTCTGATCGAAATTAGTGGCGCGGTGTAATTTATAGTGGCACTCAGATATTCCAAGAACATTCAACGAGTTGGGCAAATGTTAAGCGTACAGATAAGAAAAGGGAAATCATTGATCCAGAATTTACATTTTGATAAACGTCTCCTCTCCAATGCAGTCCTCAGTCGCCACAGGAAAAGTCATATTGGTAGACCTTTCGCAAGTGTAAGAAAACTTACATAAACCGTTACGGTGTCATCCCTCGTGTGAAAAGCTACGAGCAAGCTGAAACAGACTGTACTAAGCAGGCCAGGCCCTGTAAAGAACAAATTTGCCACATCTACAATGGTCGCTACCCGCTCGAATCCGAGCATCGAGATCATGACTGCCTATCTTTATTCCTTTTCAACCTTCTTATGGCGGCAAAATTGCCAGCCTTCTCTTGAAAAGGAGCCACAGAGGAGTATTGGTGGTGGACACGGATGGATGAGTCGGTCCCTCCTGACAGCACGTCGCAGATTCTCTACATGTTGACGGTTGAAACCGAAAATCTCAGCTCCGCTTGGGATGGTCCTAAACCAGGGAGGCCGATATGCAGCAACACTTTCCTAGGTATCAGGGTCGATGTTAGCCTGTCTCAGTGTTGTGGATTCCGAGATGAATTCGGTCTCCAAGGAATGACAAACGCAATAATTAAATATAAGAAATAAAAGGTATTTGCACAATCATTACTGTTAGTAAATCCAGGAGCACGGTTAGTAGAAAATACAGATAGATATATACAGTCTCGAAGTAGGACTTCCTTAGAGTCTACGTGCTTGTAACTGACTTCTACAAGAGGTCACCTCACACTATCTCCGTTCGTATATCCTCTCTCTCCGACTATTCTCTCACTATCCGACTACTCCCATTGACTGTCTAACTCTAGGTATTTAACGGCAGCAGTCCAGGTACACTGGTAGAGTCCTCTTATAGAAAAGGGGAGGACCCTATTACACTTAGTGATTTTTTCAACTGATTCTTGAAGCGTCGTTTTGGGCTTCCGCGTAGCCTCTTGTTGCTGGCCAGGTCTCTAAACAGGATGCTACATGGGAGACTTTTATTTGGTTTCCTTGTCGTTCTCAGGCGAACTAAAATCATTGCTCAAACTTGTCAGCGATGGTCATCTTCGTTAAAACGAGCCGACAGACATCCAGCTTCTTTTCGTTTATAGGTATATGCACACACCGATTGATATGTTTCGTTGCAAGACACGAGAGTAAATCTTCGTTCTGCGAGTGAATTATTCCATCCAGATCTTTCCCCGAGGACATTTCTCACCAAGCAATGTTTTAGTATGATTTCCTACCTATAAAAACAAAGCAATCAAAAAATTTAGTCTTCTTCAATCAGCCTTGCGTTTTTGGCCAAGAGGCATAAAAGGACAGTGTTTTTTTTTTGTTTCACACACACAAACACGCACGCATATATATATATATATATATATATATATATATATATATATATAAAACACAGAAAACAGAGAAAGAAACAGAGAGAGAGAGAGAGAGAGAGAGAAACAACTCGTGGCTTAATTTATCTCAATTTAATATAGCACACATAATGATAAATTATATTTAACAATAATTGCTTTTTTATTTTCCATCATGGAGTCACGCTGTTTAAGTTTTTTTTCTAACATTTGTACAAAATTCATTGATTATATTTTTTTCACGGATATTTATTTTTTCATTTTATTAACTGTTAAACATTCTTCAAATTAACCACAACGCACCGTTTCTAAGTAGCAAGGTTGCCATTGTCAGGATCTTTTAATTCGATGTTTTCAGCTGTTCTGAAGATGCTCATAGTGAGCGAAACGTTGACAAAGAAATGAAAATTTGTAAGCATTTTAACTGAGTTATATATATATATATTATATATATATGTAAATATATATATATATTTACATATATAAAGTAATATATATATATTTACATATATAAAGTAATATATATATATATATATATATATATATATATATATATATTAAGACATTTTTATGTTTATACATTCTTTTTATAGATACGAGTATTTAAGTACATGCTCTGTTTATAATAAACAGTATTAAACAACATTTAACGGCCTGAATGTCCAAGAAATTTTCACAGACAATATACGTCCTCCGGTAAATGTCGTTAATACAGTTTATTATAAAACAGAACATTCACTTAAATATTTGTATCTATAAAAAGAATGTATAAACATAAAAATGTCTTAAAAATAATTGTCGGACTTTGTCCATTTCATGATGTGTGACGTCATTTGTTTACATTTGGATACACCACGAGCAGATATGAATGTACGTGAGAGATTCATAGAAGATTGGAGTTCAAATACAGTAAATTCGACCGTGCTAACCAAACGCTCCTCTGTGGCCAAATCGGTAAAGGCACGTTAAGCTAAATGACGGTTCCGTGTAGGATACAGGTTCGAATCCTGTCGAAGTACGAATATTTTCTGTGAAAATTTCTCGGGCATTCAGGCCGGTAAATGTTGTTTAATACTGTTTATTATAAAACAGAGCATTTACTTAAATACTCGTTTCTATCAAAAGAATGTATAAAAA